ATTAAGATTCGTGATTGTTTGTTTTAAATTTTCAATCCCGTTCACCCATGTGTCTGAATGTTTCACTCTGAGCATACTTCTGTGGTTCTGCAGAAGATTCACGATTTGCGAACTGCAGAACTAGGGAAGAGTTTCAAGGCCAAGAGAGGTACCTATATGAAATGCCTTAGTACCAAAAGGGTCTAACCAAAAATATCAGCCCTCACTCTGGTGTAGTAGACTTGTTTTTCTGTGGTTCATGGACTGAAACTAAATATGTACTAGGAAATTATGGTGTGTTAATGACGTGGAACCCAAGGATTTCTGTGTTAGGAAGTTCCTGCAATGAAGGGCTTGATTTAGTCTGTAGGCTTCTCAAGAGGTTTCTATAAAGTCAAAAGCTCTTTAAAAAGAACTGAAGACATAAGTACAAGTGGCCAAAACCAGATCTGTATGCAATTCTTGGCAAGCTAAGAGACGCTTGATTCCTGACTCATGTAAAACGTCTTTGTTCCCTTGTTAAGGGCAAGTTGCTAGTCACCTTATTCAGATGGGACAGTTCCTTTGAACATTCTTTTACTATATAAATATAATTGTTGAGGTAAAAGAGAAAGATGTTCCTGTAATTGAGTCAGGGTATTAAAATCTGACTAAACTACTTACATTTATATTAACTGACGAGTGGGACATGCACATACTTTACAGAGCGGGAACTGCAAGAGGAAGAAAACAATGGAATACACGTGTTGTCCATAAATACACTGCTATAGCTGCACTGTAGGGAGTACTGCAGATTTGGGCCTTAACGATAGTCATCAGCAGACCAGGACAGATGCAGATTTATAAAGCTTTTATTTATTATTCATTCTTTCAAGGTAATAGAATTGAAAAGTTTCTGGAAAAGTATGTGGTTTGACAAAACACTGAAGACATATGAAATGGTCATTCAATACCAAGGAAAAAAGGTCATGGGCAGGAGAAGTTGCACAGAAACATTTTATCTTCCTATTCTCCCCACTGGCAACCTAGAAGGGAGAAATCAAAAGGATTATTTGTAAAACAGTAGCATACTACTAGAACTGCAACTTCCTGTATGTTATATCATTTTATATGCAGATGGTAAACCATACATGAGAAAAAGCAAACATTTAATGATTAAAGGGAAGCTAGATGATTATTTGCTCTGAAACAATTAAGTACATGGCAAGGTGAGCAGGGAAGGGTAGATAAATGTCCCAATATATACATATTATCGTTCTTACCTACCACGTATTAAACTCCAATTCCTAATGTGGTTCTGCTCTGGACTATTAGGTTGGCACCCTAGAAAAAGGAATTTAAGCAGTTGTGAGAGAGAGAATCAAAGAGAATCAATTATATAGTGCTTGAGCATACACCTTTCATAAACCTTAAATCTTGTGTCTGCGTTACAGGTCAAATGATAGTTGTAACAGTACTTTCAAAATTTAAAAACTGTGGACTCCTGTATGTTGGGTGTTCTTCAATCTGGCAAAGGTAGAAAATAAGTTTTATAGAGTGAGTTATAAGTAATCCGTGCCAAGGTCTTCCTAATGTACTTACCTATGTAATAGTTGGGTTATAAATGAAAAAGGAGTCAATGGATAAGCAGTTTAAGATATTGCTAACGTAGAATCTTCAGTATTTTGAATGATAACGATTGCTCTTTGGAACCTTACATGTACACTTCCTGTAAATGCTTTGAGCCTGCTCTGCAATATGGCTATATATATGAGCCATGTCTCTGATTATTTGAGGAAAGAGCAAATGTCAAATGAAAGAACACGTCCGTAGTTAACTGGTTTGGGAAAAATGGAATGACTGTTCATAGGCCATAATCAGCCAGACTCGCCCTGCTAATATATCTATGTTTGCTATAACTCTCTGATAATTCATCCAGATGCACTCTTTACTGGTAATCCTTAGTGCCCTAGAAGAATCTGTAGCACAAAAGGAAGTTTATGTAGGTTAGAGATTTAGTGTCAATTCTACATTTATGTGTCTTTCAGCTACAGTCTGTAGAATCTCCATCCTGAGAAATATTCAAAACTCTTCTGGACAAGGCCCTGAGCGACCTTCTCCAGTCTAGAACTTAGTCCTACTTTGAGCAGAGGGTGGGACTAGGAGACCTCCAGACATCACTTCCAAATGAAATTATTCTGACTACAGTCTGTATGTAAATATGTATGTTATGTTCCATAGGCAAATTTATTGCAAGGGTACGTGGACAAGCAGCCATTGTGGTTTGCAGAACCACTTAGCGCATGGCTTCCTATTGATTGTCCTGAAACCTTTTTTTTTTTTTTTTTTTTTAATAAGGGAGATAGGAAATACCTCTTCCCCAAAGCATGTCTCAATGTCTGGTTGCTTGCAGCACTTTTCTACCATGGCAGTGAAACCATCAGCGATTGTCTTTATTTGTTCTTCTGTCATCTGGGGCTTGCGTTTAATGAGGTTGACAAGCAATCTGGAAAGAGAGCCACAATATGCAATTAAGGTTACCTGTTGTAGTTTGACTTCTCAATTTATAATATCCCATTCTATGTAGAAATGGATCATTTCTGAGGCTTCCTGTCATGTCTAGAGGAGCCTATGTTTGTCTGTGACTACAAACTCCCTGTACTGCAGAATCATCTTTTCCCTTTTTCTTTGCTGCAGTTACAGATGGGAAAGCCTTACTGAAATGATCTGTATGATGTCTCAATTAAGTTCACCCTAAGACTTACACTGGCAGTGGACCTACATAAGCCTCGTCAGCTAGGACGTGGGTTTCACTATAAGAAAATGCCTTATTTTGCCTCTCTTCAACTACGTGATGTCATGCACTGGCAAGCTCAGTACGAACGTTTAATTCCATCCAGTACTCTCTCTTCAGTGAAGTCCCTGTCAGATACCAAAATAGAGTTCTTGAAGCTTACTTCCTGTTCCCTAAAAATGTGTTACACTGCAGGAATTTTT